CTCCCCAGCCCCCCTGCCCCCCGAGGCGTAAAGTCAGCTGTTGGGCCCTGACCCGCGCTGCGCTGGGGCGAGGCGGCGGGGTTTCCCCACCGCCGCCCGCGCTGGGTACCAGCTGTGCCCGGAGCCACCTGGCTTTGGTACCCAGCGCTCCTGCGGCTGCGGCGCGAGCAGACGCCGCCTTCCCGCTGCGGAGACAGCCTGGGGTGTAGCCCGCCCGCTCCGAGCCCGCGGAAAGCGGGGCGACCCTGCTTTCCCGAAGGGAACGGCAGGTTTGGAGAGCCAGACGGCCTTCTCCTCCCGCCGGGGGCTGTTGCCAGCCGCGTGGACGCACTGGGACCCACAAATGCAGGAGTCCTTAGAAGTTCTCAAAGGAGGCGTCCAGAGGCGTCAGCGAGGATTCCCTCGCGGAGGGAGGCAGTTCCGAACCTCCTAGAAATTTTGCATTTACAGTCTTAGGTCTTCGAGGCTGACATCTTTCCTCTTTGACCGCCACAGCCGCCACGCCTGTGACTTCTTCCCGCCTGTGTGTTTACCAGCAAGGCTTCACCCAGCACGTTTTTTGATATGCTTAGAGGAAGAGGGAATCACCATACTTGATGCTAAAATAAGAGAGAGACAGAGAAAAAAATCCCATGTGTCAAATTTGAGGGTTCAGAGGAGGTGGAGACCGTTAAGAGTTATCTCAGGGGTGGAAATATGTACTGTGTGTGGGGAAATGCAACAGCAGCCCAGTCTGCTGGTGGTGTGGTGACCTTGGCCTCTGTAGCTCTGCCTCTTTGCAATGAGCCATTCCTCCTAAGTTACCTGCAGTGTTTCACTTCTGCTAGTAAAGCCCTTTGTCCCTTGAGCTGTAGATACTCATCAGTGCTAACTGCCTGGCGTAGCTGCATTTCTGAGGTGCCTAAGCTCTGTGCAGAAAGGCCAAGTCACATTTTAATAGTGATCGGTACATCCATGGGTCAGATCAGGACTTACCCAGGACAGGGTCCAGCTGATGAAATTTGAAGGTGTGGGTTTCCTAAGTCCTGTAACGGGGGACATTTTCTCCCTGGACATCTAGTACTCCTCAAGATCTCCATACCACTGGAAATGTGTTTCCTTTTCCCATAAACTTGAATTTGTTCCTTTGAAAATACTCCTTCCATTCACTTCCCTTGGTCTTCTCCAATAACCGTATCTTTTTCTCTTCCCACTTGCCACCATCTTGATACTCCCAGACAACCTCCTTGAAAAATTGCTTAAATGACATCTAGAATATCATCGAGCATGTTGGCATCCTGCCCAGTTATCAATTTGGCGACAAATCAATGCACTTACATGTAGCCTCAGAAAATGTGTAGTTTTTTTGTTTCCACTAGCAAAATTTATTACTTAGGTTCTGAAGGCGAGTCTTTTCAAAGGCCACTCCTTGTCCAGAATGGTCTCGAAGGACTCAGCTCGTGGCAGGAGGGTCTCTTCTTCACCTGGGAAGGGGCAGTGCCCGAGCAGAGTGAGCTCGTCTGCCATTGTGGGCGCCCACGACTCTCTGGGCCCTTCCCAGCTCTTTCTATGTTTGAGTTTGAGAAACTTGCTTGTGATTGCGCTCCTGTGCTTTTGGATACTCCGCAAGGGCAGGGACCATCACAGGGGTCCCCCCACCCTCCTTGTGCATCAAGCTGCTTGTACATAGTGAATATCTGTGGGGAAGAAGGGGTGATACTGGCCACCTGGTTCTGTATCGAGCCTGGACGACTCTACTCCAGGAAGCGTTTGGTCCTTCGGCTTTAATGTTTGACCTCATTACCACGGCCCTTCTCGAATTCAGACCTCAGTTGGTAGTTACCACCTCATTGTGGTAGTGACCGAATCGAATCAGTCTGGTTATTAACAGATCTAGTGGCTTTGTGGCCAAAAGAACGCAGAGATGGGGACTTTGGTTTCTTGTGACCCAGTGACATTACAGTTTCCAGTTGCTTTTATTCACAAATAGATTTATTGCATGCAGCTGAATCAGTGATGCGCCGTCTGGAGCTTTCTGACTTGCATCTCTGGACCTTTGTGCAGGTTTACATTGATTTACTCCCAGCCCTCAGGTGAGTGCTGGTCCCGTTATTGCCATCGGAATAATGGTTGCATCCTACGCAAACTGCCTATTCAGCAATCCAGTTTTCTTTCCTACTTCCTTTTTTCCTTTAGCCATCAGT